ATAGTTTGGAAGGTTAATCAGGTATCTGCTTTACCTAAGTGTTTGTTATAATGAAAACAACAGTGCAGCAAAGCAGCAGACATTTGATCTAACCTGATAGTCTCTCCCTTATTTCTACCTGAAAGTTTTCTGAATGACTGCAGTTTGTGTTGTGTCAAAGTCAGAAATGTCCCAATCTTAGCAGTTCCTATGCAGTTCATAGCAGACTATGTCTAGGGATCTGGTTCCCATTCAGAACCTTGCGGGGGCCCATAGGCCATGAGAAGTGGCACCCTTCTTGGAGGGAGCAAATACACAGAGCCCAAACAAAGCCTGTTCTAACACAGAGTGGCCAGAGAGCCATTTTCTCCTTCTAACTCAAAGTCACAGATGTTGCCTGACTTGATTTAAAAAAAAAAAAAATTCAATAATCACTGCTCTAACCATGAGATTAAAATAGAAAAGGTGAAGGGTAGCCACCTCAGAGCCTTTTCCAAAGTCTAGTAAACTCCTGCAGGATGGACTGAGAAGGTCCTATGAAGAGGTCTCCTAAATCCCCAGAAATGCTCTAACCACCACATTTTTGCACTCTGTATAAAATGGCACTGCTGTTTCCATTTGAAGTGCTGCTCAGTCAGGAAGGGGCTTGAGGTTTGGGGTAACAAATGGGGACATCTACCTTAAAATTCTGACCAGGCTAATCAGCTAAACAAGGTCACAGAATAGGTTTGAATGTTTGTACGTGGTCATCCATGTTTGCAGGGATGCTTTTTGCATGATGCTAACAGCTGCAGCCCCTGATAACTAGTGCTCTCTTGGTGCGTGTGCCTGTGGCACACTTCTCAGTTTATGAGAAGACAAGTTAATCCTTTTATGTCTGTGGTAACATGCAAGCCTCCTAAACTCCAGCTGGGGACAGGAGAGCAGACACATCACTGTGCCCTGCATATCCAACTAAGTAGCATCTGAGTCTTCGGTCACTCACCTCTGCGTTCACTGACTGGTCCTTCACCACATTTACTGTTTTGACCCTGGCTGGACACCAGGTACCCCACTAAAGCCGCTCTCTCCCTCCCCTCAGCAGTTGGACAGAGGAGAGAAAAAAAAGTGAAGGATTCATGAGTTAAGAGCTGGGAGAGGTCACTTACTGATCACCACCAAGGGCAAAACAGACTCAAAGTGGGGATATTAACTGAATTTACTACAAACAGGATCAGAGCAAAAGAGTGAGAAGTGAAATAATCTTAAAACCACCTTCCTACCACTGCTCCTTCCTTCCAGACTCTACCTCCTCCTGCACAGTGGTGCAGGGAGACAGGAATGGGGGTTACCATCAGTTGTTGTTTCTGCTGTTGCACAGGGAGAGAAGTCCTTCCCCTGCTCCCATGGGGTCCCTCCTGCATGAGTCCCTCCCTCAGGCAGCAGTTCTTCCCATACTGCTGTCCCGTGGGTCACTCCTCCTCGGGGTGCAGTTTTTCTGGAATGAGCTGTACTGATGTGGGTTCCCACAGGGGTCACAAGTCCTACCTGGGAAAAACCTGCTCCAGCGTGGGCTTCCCTCTCCGTGAGCTGCAGGTCTCCGGCAGGACCCTGCTCCATCATGGACCTCCTGTGGAGTCACAGCCTCCTTCATGCATCCACCTGCTCCAGCATGGGCTCCTCCGTGGGCTGCAGGGGGGTCTCTGCACCCCGATGGTCCTCCATGGGCTGCAGGGGCACAGCTGCCTCACCATGGTCTGCAGGGCCTCAGTTCTGGCACCTGGAGCACCTCCTGCCCCTCCTTCTGCATCGACCTTGGTGTTCACATATTCTCACTCTGCTCTTCCCTGGCTGGAATTTTCTCTAAGCAATAACTTTCTGTTCTTAAATATGTTATCACAGAGGCATTACTATTACTCCTGATTGGCTCAGCCTTGGCCAGCAGTGGGAAGTCTGTCCTGGAGCTGGCTGGCATTGGCTCCACCAGACGGGAAGATTCTAGCAGCTTCTAACAGAAGCCATCCTGTGGACTCCTGCTACCAAACCTAGCCACAGAAACCCACTACACCACACTTCATATGCCCTGCCCTTGCAAGTAAAATAAACCTATGCTGTAAAATAAACCTATGCCTCCCACACTTCCACTGCTTCGTTCAGACCAAGCACCTGCTCACAGTTGTTGTGATGTAGTTGTAGGGGACTATGCAGCTGATTTGTTCCTAATCATGTGACCACAGAGCAGCCCCTGGTGGTCTAGGGGGTAAAGGCGCTGCACTGTCACTGCAGAGACCCAGGTTCGGTTCCCGGTCGGGGCCCCTCCCCGGGCAGATGGAGCTCGTTAGCCCTGTAAGGCAATCCATCTACATCCTGAGGACCTCGCTGCCACCGTCCAAGCATGCTTGGCCCCGGCAGATGAACCTCAGGATTAAAGGGTGGGCTCAGTTCCGCGCACACTGTGTCTCACCTAAAAAATCCAATGCGCAGGCTGG